GCACCCCAGGATCCCATTGGCCTTCTCGGCCACAAGGGCACACTGCTGCCTCATGGTCAGCTTGTTGTCCACTACGATACCCAGGTCCCTCTCTGCAGAGCTGCTCTCCAGAAGGTTGGTCCCCAGCCTGTCCTGGTGTCTGGGGTTATTCCTCCCCAGGTGCAGGACCTTGCACTTGGCCTTGTTGAATTGCATGAGGTTTTTCACCGCCCAGTTGTCCAGTCTGTCCAAGTCCCTCTGGATGGCAGCGCAGCCCTCTGGGGTATCGGCTACTCCTCCCAGTTTGGTATCATCAGCAAACTTGCTGAGGGAGCACTCTGTGCCTTCATCCAGGTCACTGATGAATAAATTGGACAGGACTGGGCTGAGGACTGACCCCTGGGGGACCCCGCTGGCTATAGGCCTCCAGCTAGGCTCTGCAGCTTCACTCAGCTTATGAACTTATAGCTTCACTCAGCTAAGTAGGTTGTTTAACACAATAATTGAGAGCAGATCTGTCAGTGTTTTAGTAAACTTCTACAATATTATGTTTCTCTTGCGCTTCAGGCAGAAGGGATTTCAAGGTCAAAGGATACAAACTATTAATAACCTTTTACTTATGGTGTCACTTAAGTACGTTTTTGAGGAACAGTAATTTCTTTCCGTTAGGCATTGAAGCTTCAGTTGTCTGCTCCCGTGTGCTAGCAATATGCCACAAAATAAACCATTCCAAATTAAAAATCTGATTTTCAACTTTTATAAGAACACAAGAGCAATATGTTCTTTTCTTCTTGTAAAGCCAAGCAGGAGAGGGTGGTATTGCGCAGGAGAGGTTCCAAAATGAAGTGGTGGTCAACTGCTAAACCTCTTTGGCATGGTATCTCAATGATCTTTTATGAGTATCATTTATTTAAAGGAAATAAAGTGCTGGCTACAGATGGTGAGGGTTTCAGTGTGCTGATCGTGTCTGCTGCTTGTTCGGGCACAGAAACAGAATAGTTCGTGGCCTTGTGGGTATGCCTGTAGGGTTTTGCTCTTCTTGCTGTTGTGGCACTTGCCCTGAATCGTGCTTCTGCTATAAATCCTAAATTGTCGTGGTTTAATGCTGGCTTCTCATGGCCTTTGCCTGGGGAAGAGCATTGTCTTGCCGAGATAATTGCCTTTGCTGACTTTGAGACTGCTGCCCACTTCTGTGTCGCCTCTACAACTTAGTTTAGCGTTAGACTTCGGGTGGTTTTCAGGTGCAACGATACTGATTAAGTCCCTAAAATGCTTACCCCTGTGTCCATGCATTAGAGGGACCTTTTATCTAGAATAACCATCTTCATAGTAATTAATTATTATTTGCAGTAGCTTGTAGTGTACTGAGACCTCTTGAAGCCCTTGTCTTTTTCCATTACATTTTTTGTTTGTGAAGCTGTCACTGTTCCTACGGCAAGTGTGTTAGTCTGTTCGTCTAGATCTGCAATTGCCTCCTTCAGAGGCTTAAATAGAGTCTCGAGTGCTGGTGTGACACTATATTATGAGTGAATCTGCGAAGAACTGCCTTAAAAGTGAAGCTTGTTTATTTAAGGCAGGTCTTGGAAGTGTCAGCACAGCATTTCACCGAGGTCAGTCAGCCCTACCAAGCGCAAAATACCTGATTCCAGAATGTCTATTGTTTTCTCTGTTTGTAGTGTCATATAATTGGAATTTCTGGAAACATATGCAAAACATATATTTATGGCAATGCTGCTGTTTTTGGAGGTTTGTGAAGGTTTAAAATATTTGTCTTTATGATCAAGTTTGTTTGTTTTTTTGTTTTGACTTTTGTTTGTTTTTTTGTTTTGACTTGGGCCTTTACCTTGAGCTGATGAGCTGTCCTTTCGCTTTTTTTTTTTTTGTTTGTTTTGTTTGTAATGTTGATTTTTATCTAGTGTGAGCTGTGCGGCTAATATTGCAACAAAGCAATAAAATTCTGGTTAATAGGATACATCGAGCCTGCGTGGTTTAGAAGTACCAGAATGTCAGAAAGCAGGAATAAGCTTTGGGGATAAGTGATTTTCTTCATTACTGAGTATGTCAAAGACATTGTGGAGCCATCATTGCTAAATTGAAAAAGAGGCCTATGTTTTGCCATTGAGCAAACACTGTCTGCTCGTCCCGCTAGAGAAAAGGTCGTGTGAAACTCCTATGGAAAATTAATTGCTTTATGTGAATTGCAAAGCATGCTACAGTTGGTGCCCACCTGTATGCCTGGTAAATATGCATATGAATGAATGTATTTTGTATCCTGACTACCTAAAACTTGCAGTCAGTCATGCTGTAATTTCCAATGGTCCCAATGCTTCCCTGTCAAGAGCAGTTGCTTTGACCAGCTGTACTGTCTATGGGCTAAGAAAGGTAGCAGCTGAAGTAGGAGAAACTGAAAATGGCAAAACCTCTAAGCTTGAGAATGGTGATTCATAATGAAAATCAGAACAAAAGAAGAATATTTGCAAAAAAAACCAAAAGACAACTGGGAAGGAAAACAAAGTGAGAGGAAAGAGAGAACTTTGGTGCTTTCATGACACAAAAGAAAAGTCTGATGGGACTGTGACTTGGGGAAGGGAAAGGTTCATTGTCACTTAGCATTTTTAATGGTTGAATGCAATTTATTTCACACCTGCTCCCCAACACTTTTCCTTTTATTTTCCCCTGGTCAGTTGTCTTTAAGAAAAAAACAAAAAAAACAAACGAAAACTCACAAAGCCCTCTGCCTTATGTAAACATGCTTAACATGGGAACAAGTCTGATGAATATTCTGGGAATGTGAAGTGCATACTCTTCTCTACTGCTCCATTTTCATTTTTTTTCCCTTTTCTATTCTGTAGATTCCACCAATATGCAAACAAACATCGTGGCAGAGCCTGGGGAGAGGTTATTCAAGACCATTATTAGATACTTCAGAGGTAGGTAAAATTTATTTTTCTGCTTTCTACTTGGAGGTGTGAGGAAACTCGGGCTTGGTGCATCTTTCGGTTGCATTACTTTCATTTTTAAAAAAAAATAATTTCTGTGTGGTGCATAAGGTTAAATTGCAATTTATCTCTCTGCCCCCAGAAGAGGGGTGAACTTGGCTTAAAACCTTCAGACTGTTGCACTTGAGAAATCTATATAAATAAATAAATAAATATCTAAAAGCCAATGCTGTCATAGTAACTTAAAAAGCAAAGCTCTTTGTATGTAACTTTAACTTGTTGACCCTTAGATTCATGTGGTCTGACACACACAAAAGAGTATGAAAACCTGTGAGCTTTCCTTGAGCATGTAGGGCTTTATTACTTCAAATTAGGGAAATTTTAAAACATTTAGCAAACGTGCATTGCTCCTCATCCTGAGGTTTGTTTATGTATTGGTATGTGAGAAGAATATCATCCAGTATCTGTCTTTTATTCCCCTTTTAAGTTTGTAGTTGTCCTTTTAACTTAAATATTTAAGGCCCTTTTGGTCTTTACCTGCTAGCTGCTTGCTACAAGCACTTTACTATACTGCTAGCCATATGATCTGTTTTTTGTTATTATCTCCTTAAGATGAGGCAAATTTGTAGAGAGTCGTAGTATCCTTTCGGAAATCAAGCTGATACAGTTGAGGGGGAGGGATGGAAAACAGATCGGTAGCAGTTCCCTCTTCTTTGGCTTTCAAATGCCTGTTTCCTGAGGTTCTTGCAAATTGACTTTACTTTTTCACACAGCTGCTCCAGGGGTGGCAACGAATAGAAAAGAGAATGTGTTGGCATGGCCATGCAGGTGGAGGACTTCACACAGATCCAAAGGAAGGGGTAAAAAGAATTGCTTAATTAGTATTGCTTTTTAAATCCAAAGCCTGTTCACCTTTGTATTAAAAACAAACAAAAAAAACCTGAACTGTCCAAATTTGTGAGAAACTGTATTGATAGGTAACATATGAGCACTGCGGATCAGTAGATAGTGTTTAATTGTCAGTGTTATGTTACTAGCTCTAAAATCACCAAATGTTTTTGATAACTCCTTTGAAGCGCTTCAGTTGCTTTATTAAAAATAGAACCCCACTTTCCTACATTCCTTCGAAATGTGCTTGCAGTATGTTAGGTTTTTTCCATGCTAGGTAAGTTCCGTTGTAATCGAATATGCTTATTCTTGTTTGTGACTGATATTTCTGTGTGACTTTGCATTCATGCTGGCAGGGATTAGTTTGTGAATACAAACCAGAGCATCAGGGTTGCCATTGCAGTTGATGTGGGGGCAGAGGGAGTAATTAACTGTTTACTGTGCATGTCTAATCAATTTGATTTAATGTTAATGTGTCTGATATATTTTTGCTGTATTTATAATCAGGAAGCATCTATATTAAAAGGATGATGATGGGTGTGTAGGGAGAAGCAGTATCTTTTATTAGACCACATGATTAGGTTATAAAAATAGGCAGGCTTTTAGTTAAAATAGCACTGTAAAATTTTGCATTATTAAAATTGCAAAATCAAAGTGCTCATGTTAGGAAGTAAGAAAATGAGGTTTGCATATGCAAACTTCTGATGCTTTGTGAGATGCATTTTCCACAGGCTCGATCAAACGCTTGTACCACGTTCCTCTTCAGTTTTGGCTTGAGGGCTATTCCTTCAGTGAATTCAAACTTGTTTGTGCTACAGCCTGAACTCAGGAGGGAGCTACCTGAAACTGGATGCTTCAGTAGTAAGGGACAGTTTGGTTACACAGGGTACGTACACTGGGTTTGTTGTAGTGAGCAGCTCTGATCTGCTCTGCATAAGGCCCAAGGGGGAGGCAGAAGAATTGAACTCTTCAGTAGTTAGTGCTGCTGGCCCTATGGATAATATTAATTTGAGATGTTCTGTACCCTTCTTGCAGCATTTACAGGCTCTTTCAAATGTCTTCTATGCCAAACACTGAAAAAGAGCAGGTTAGTCTTCTCCCTAATTTTATTTCTTCTGTGAAGAGGAGGGCAGCATTATCCCCTCTTTCAACCCCAGTTGCCGTGTCAGTGGTTTTTTTTTTTCTTTTTCCTTTGTATTTTTCTTTTCTTTTCCTACGATAATTTCTGTTCTTCTGGACATGTTGATCAGCTGCATGTCTTCTATCGGCTGTTCAGAACTTCATCTCCATAGAAAGGAGGTTTTACATACACACAAGACAAGCTATTGCGGTGCTATTGCAGACTTGTTCCACAGACAACTGACTCACCTTCAAAAACACCACAAGGCTTTGCTCTTTTTTTTTAAGGAGCTTCCTGGCATGCGGAGCTTTTTCAGCTGAAACTCTTAAAATGTGAAGGGCCACTTTGAGGGCAAACCTGTTTAATCCTTACCTTACCTATCATCTTTGCAATGATTGCTTCTTCAAGGTCTACAGCTTGGCATAATTCAAAACAGATATTTTTTTCTGATCAGAAAGGAAAAGTAAGCTTGTGTTTATCAAAATATAATAATATTGAGAAAGGTGTTTTTTTTTTTTTAAAGAAAAACTTGTCAGGAATGTGATAGTCAGGAATTTTCTTGTCAACTGATATTTTTTTGGCCTGCATGTTGTGCTCATGCAATGTTTGTAGCTATTCCTCTGTAAGCCAGTCCCCTGGCTTTTTTATTCCAATAAAATTATTGGAATTGTATTAACTGTAATGCAATTAATATGAAAAGTTGTTAATTATGGATATTGCCTAACTAAACATATATTGGCTGTTACACATTGTCCAGGAGAAAGCAGTAAGAATTAGCTGTAGAAGTGAAATGCAAGATGAGAGGGAAAAACAGCAACAACAGATGCAAAAGCCGAGAGTTTTGGGGAAGAAATGAAGGGAAGGAAATCTAATACTATGAGTGCAGTCCTTAAACTCGTAATAGAGCTCCTAATGGGCTCTGAAATTTGGTTGTAATGGCTTCAGCAGTGACAGTTTGCAATTATGTTCAGTGCATGAAAGTGCTAGCACCCAAATTACCATGTTGGATTTTTTTTTCCTAGGCTCATGCTTTTAGGGAAGCTGCAGCTGGTGTATGTGTCAGCTCTACTACACCTGTGTCTTTTTTCAAACATTTTTGACAAATCAGCGTGTTCATTCTGGAATCTGACTTTGGGGCGGGTGTTTTAGATGGCCTCTCGGTGGCAGTGTGTGGGGGTGCAGGGATGACCGCTGAGGATGAGGGGGGAATGGGAAGGGACTTATCATTTTGCAAGGGCTAGAGGAGAGGCTTGCACATCTGTGTAAGCCCTTTTGCTTGCCACAGTGGCCAATGTGCTGAGGCCTGAAACTGGGAAAAAATACCATCTTCAGCTTGTTTATTGTGTGTGGTAGTGTTTTGTACACAGAAGAGCCAGGAATAAAAAACTACAGGATCTGACCTCAGCTGAAGGGGGTTTGGTGCCCGCCTTGCTGAACAGCTAATGCTGCTTCACTCGGAGCAAGCTGCTTATCATGAGCAGAGATCATCTAAGTGCCTGCTGCTGCCGAAGAGGAGAGTTCGTGCTCTCAGCCATGCCTTTTCCTCATGCTACCAAATTTACAGATTACTGACTCTTTCCTGAGCTGAAACCCTGCTGCCAATGCTGAGAAGTTTTCAGCCTGTTTCCTAAGCTGAATCCATTCATAAGGATATTTCTTGAGCCCCGGAACTGGAGCAAGAAGGTGGGGAGGAAAAAGCAAGGGGGAGAAGCAGCAAAATGTTAGTGGTTTGCAGGATAAACTCGTGCACGTGTAAGGCAGCTTGGGTAGTACAGCCCTGGGGTGTTGCAGCTCTCTGAGCAAGAACCCCGGGCCAGAATGGGATCTTTTTTCCCTCATCAGTGCTGACAGCTGACATGCACATGGATGCAAGAAGATCTCCCTTCTTCTGAAGTATTTGGTGTAGGGTGTTTTAAAAGCATGAGTCTGAATAGAGGAGAGAGTAGGGAAAAAATGCTTTTCTTCCCTGCTACCTGCTGTGTTGTATTTTTCCTGCCATTCTGTCCATTCCTGTAGAGATAAGGCTTGAAAGAAAATAAAAAATCAAACTGCCACTTGAAAGGAGATGAGGCAAACACCTGTGTCTTAACCTTTCTATATGCTATAGAGAATCAAATCAAGGGTCCGGAGCCTGTCGAACAGATTGCTTATTTTAATTCTCAAAGCTGCCACTTGCATGCTGAATGCATTTTAAACTCAAGTTTCTGTATCACAGTAACAACGCTTATTTCATGGTAAACTTTGATGTAATGGGCATTTTGTGCCTGCTTTGATATTTCATCTTGTCCCTTTGGCAAACAACTGGCTGCTTTCTGACTTTTCCTTTTTTTCCTGAGCCCTGCTCAGAGCCATGGAGGAGCCAAGATGGATTCCTCGTTTGCAGCTAATAGGTCGCTCTCTTTCTAATGGCTTTTCTGTACAAAGTCCGACTAGCCAATAGCGACGTGTTATTAGAACGGCTGGGCTTGCACTAGTAGCTTTGTGTTAACGCGATACCGTTTTGTTCCTCTTTCTTTTAGCCTGTAAGTGGGGATCAAAGGTATTTTCTAAATGTTTGAACACAAAGCTATTTATGCATATGCTTAACTCAGAAGGAAGGGTTCATGTATCCTCCATCTCCGGAATGGGTAGGGACAACAGAGAAATATTAATCTGTGCTCTCTGCTCACATAGAAAAAATCCATATATCTGCTTTTAAAAAAGTCAACTAAAATGAGCTTATATTTTGTAATGCTCAAGTATATTGCTGCTGACAAAATATATACAATATTTCTTATTCTTTTGTCTTTGAAGCTGTGACTTGAAACAGTGAGTTGAATTTTTCTATGCTTTTAAAAGCTTCAGTTTGTAGGTCTGGCTTCACTTGCAGCTTCCTCAATCTTTTCAAATTGGAGATTCATTTTTATTCTGTTTTGTTTTACTCCCCAAATGAAAAAGGAAGCATTTGAAATATACAGACTAGTGAGGGAACATTAAAGAATACTGTAGAAAACTTTGACTTTGAGCTGACTTCTGTTAGGAAAAGTCTGCCTTAAGATGGTGGGGACTAACTTTCTCTTCCACCTGCCCTTCACGCCTACAAAATATGGCCTGAAATGGAAAGATTAGCTGGTAGTTGCTGGCCTCCCTTCAGTTTTAGATAACCTTCACGTCATTCAAGATTATCCAAGGGTGTCCAACACAGAAAAAGGAGCTGTCGATACTTTTGCTATGTAATACTGCCTATTCTGTTGTTCTCTGTTGGAGAGCATGGTATAGGCTTTGCATAGTGTGTATATAGCCTTGGAGTTTATTGAAATATATCTCGTGGAATTTTTAAAGTGATATATATCTATACATAAAAATGTTTTATTTCTTTACATCTGTAAAGGCATAGATATTTCTTAGGCTTGTTATCTGAGCTGTGATCTTATGTAGAAGGAAGCTTGAGGTTAGGGAAGGAAAATAAGACTCTGTTTTAAAAAATGGACACTACCCCTTAAGCATCCAGGTACATTTCACTGAACCTAGCACAAGAGTCCTTTATGTTCACTGAAGTGGTGACACTTTTTGCCCAGCTAAGCCAGCTAGAATGATTTTCTTGACTGTTATCTTAACTTCTTGGTAAACCCTTTGAAAGACTTCTCCTGAAAGTCATGGACAAAATAAAGGTATTTGTCACTTCTCTGTAAATAGAATAAACTGACTAAACTCAGTAAAACCGAGTATTGGAAATGCTTAAATTTGTAGTAATGCAGCTAAGTTATGTGTTTTAAAGTAACTTGAAAAAAAACTTCAAAATTCACCTAGAAACTGTAGTTTCAGAGATTTGAGTTGTTACAATGCTTATGATATATATTTCTTTGAATGCTGCTTCTTTTTGTTGCAGCTGGCTTAATGTAAGCAATGCAAATTACGTGTGGTTATTGTAGACCTTTCAGATTTTTTTTTCTATAGCTAAAACAGCTTCATAAGAATACCAAATCCTTACATTTTGCACAAAAATCTTGGGGAGATGAAAAGGAAGGGATTGTTTATTTGTTTTATGACATATTTCAACTGTGATGAATTGTGGTTCTTTTTCAAATTTGCTTACAGCTATACCTGCACTTATGAGGACATGTGAATTAAGAACAATTCATCTGATTTAACTGCATGTCATAATGTAACACTAAAAATTTATAGCTTAATGCTTTTAATAGGCAATCTCAGTCTTAAACACTGAAGTGCAGCTTCTTTTGCCCACCATGCGCTACATAAAAATGATCCAGATGTGTAAAACTTGCTTTTATTTATACTGTTGTTTTGCTTTTCACAATCTTTCTGGAGTCTCTTTGTAATGAGGTGACTTTGCTTTTTACTCCCAACAGCTGAAAGAGATAGATGCCAAAAAGATCGTCCGAGCAATGTTGTCTTATGTGTGGCCCAAAGACAGGCCGGATCTGCGCGCCAGAGTAGCCATCTCTCTGGGGTTTTTAGCAAGTGCAAAGGTAAGAGCAGCTACTTCATTGTACTGTGGCAGTTGGAGTTCTTGAAAGGAGCAACTTTCTAGTTTATAAGCTCTTAGAATGTTATGATTGCTTCCTATATACTGTATTCCCTTATAGCATTAGAAATGTATATATTTAAAAAACAAATATGTCTGTGTTTATGCCCATGATATGCATATGTGTGACTGGGAAGATGCTGGAGGTCAGATGTGTGATTTGCATTGGTCAGAGTTTAGGCCAGGATTTTTTTCATTTGCTAGTTAACCCATTATTATGGAGATTTATAACTTATGTGAAAGGGATAAAGATGAGTAATGACTGCTCACAGCCCTGCACAAACAGGGAAGATCTGTGTTTGTCAAACAGGATTTCTCCAAGGCTCTGTGCCCATTTTCAGCTGTGCAGTTAAGCAGTGTGGTCCTATCCACTCACAGCTCTTGCCACCATGGTGAAAAGGTGATTTCAGCTCCAGTGACATTCCAGCTCCGGGTGAGGTGGTGGTGGAATTTCTAGTAGTTCAGGGTCTCCTCTGGTGTCATAATATGAAAGAAGCTTCATAATTTCTTACTTAGGTATTGAACCATACTGATGTTTCTTTAATGTGTAGTCTTTTTGTTATGAATGAGTATTGCTTTTACCTCTACTTTATCATGTGTTACACTCTTGCCTGTAACAAAATTAGTATTTACTAGTTTCTTGGAAGGACAGAGACATGAAAAAGCTTTTCACAGCTTAATGGAGTATAAAATGTAAATTTTGTTCAAACATTGTAAAAATAGTTCAATGTGAACTTTGTGCACAAAACCTTTTGCGTTAGAAAACAGCTTTAAATCTTTGATTACAAAGTGCTGGGAGCAAATTGTGTTATTATTGTTGGGGTAGGTGAACTGGCTTCCTTCTTGATATGACAGCTTTTTGCCATACATACATAACATACATATTAGGCTCTTGCTGGGATAAACTAAGGCAGATCCTACTTAGCAATGGGTTTTAACACTCTAGGCTAGTTGTACAGTGTTTCCTTATCGGCCTTCAGCAGCATTATCAAGTTATGAAAAGAGAGGGAAGAAACAAACTGAACTATGTAGGTGATAAAAGAAGAATATACAGAAGGGAACTGCGTTCATCTATTTGAGCTGAAGAGGAAGGCCAATCTCCTGGCGTGCAGCGCTTTCACTAGCTGGGACTGCTTCCAGTAGATAGTCTGTTTTCTGCAGCTCCTCGGGAAGTCGCTGATAATTCAGCTGGCAATATGCAGAGCGTACAAGATATGTGCAAGTAAACTTTTTAAATGCACCGTTTTTGTATGACTGCAAGATGTGCAGCCGTGTTTTGAATTTCACTTAAATTATCTTGGGGAAACTGTCTACTCAAAATGCAGATGCTAGGAGGCTTCTTTCCTCTTTTTCTGCTTGCTCAAATCCTGCATGTGGCAGCATAGTACCTTGCTTTTAAGAAATGTAATAATGTTCCAGAGAGCTTTCTGGCATGCAGAGAAAACAAAGTTGATAGCCAGGATGCCTGCCTTGTGCAAATAGCTCTGCATTAGGGAGTTCTTTTATTAATCATCCGTCCAAATATAGTTTTGCAAATATGTAGGGTCACCTCAGCTTACCAGGAAACCTGATTTGCTTGCTCATCATTAGCATCATAAATATTGGGTTTTTTTTGCACAAACTAGGACAGCAAAGTGATGATACTAGAACTTTTTTTCACCAGAGTAAATAATTTCTGTTTAAATTTCTGTTAAGTACCACAAACAGTGGTACTTTTTATTCTCAGTCACACAAGTCTCCCATAGGTACTTAGTACCTGGTAGGTAGCCAATTAGGGCTTTCTGTTTCTTCAGACTGGGAAATAATTGTTTGGTGGCATTTCTTATAGTGGCATTTCATCACTGCAGTTGTCCTGTCATGTGAGGACTGAACTACATCTGGTCAAAATGCAAGCTGTACATTTGGTATAAAACTGAAATTTTCTGTTGAGAGAGATACTTTCCTCTGCCTCCTTGCCAGAAAAGTGTCATTTATTTGCACTTTCTCTGGGGAAGTAACTGCATACCTGGATCTCTCATTCTCAAATTTTCTGCTTCCGTACAGTATCTGGATTTTCTTCTTGAGTTTCCCCCTTGCATTTTTTTTGTCTCCATTACTGGGATATATAATGTGAACGCTTCTTCGTTTTCCTGCTTCAGGTTCTGTGCAATATCCAGAGCAGCTTCTAGGAAGGAGAGAGGGAATCCTGTGGAGCTCTGACCAGATTTTAGATGTTTACCAAAACATGTGTTTTTCACTTCTATTTTAACAAACAAAAGTTTCACTGGGAAAACATATAGCTAGCACTCTATGGAATATGTGTTGTAAGAGCCTGCGGCAAAAGATTATGTGTATGTCTTCTAGCTATCCTTTGCTAATCTTGTTTTGCTTTTATTGTTAAAAAGCAATGTTAGAACTCAAACATGATTGAGCAACTGCTCTTTAACAAGTTACCACACGTCAGCTGGGCTCTGCCCGCTGGAGTAAGTTTCCCTAAATTGCTTCATGTTTTGTACTTACTAATCATGCATGTGGTTATTGCAGCAGAAGTGAAGTGCAATAGTTTGTTGCACAGCTATTGTAATTCCATCATATCTCCGAGCCCTGATCATCTGGTTTTGTTCCAGGGTAAGCTAAAGATCACTTTGCCCTACAGAAAATTAAATTCAGCAGTTTAATAACTTAACAATAACTTGCTTAGACCACGTGTAACCCTGTGCAGTTTCCTCATTTTCTCATTGGAGAGTGCTTTGTTCTGACTGCTCATGAGATTGATTACAACATGCTTGCCATATCAGACAAGCAGTTTTTTAAAGTAGGTTGCTATATGGTTGTGCTGGCACAAAAATGCAAGTGTGTTTTTCCTCTCACTGAAATTCTATGATTTGCTTTCTTCGTTATGTACTTGTCTGCATCTGAGAGGTTTACATCCTTAGTTTGGCTTTTTGTAACTTGTTCTTTCGGGCTTTGCAAACAGAATTATATGATTTTGATGCCTGCTACTTCACATGAAGAAATACATTTTAAAGCCTTTTGGCTAATTTAATCTGAACCTGACAATGCGTTTGGTGGGGTTGTACACCTCTGTATTTATGAAGTGAGGTTTCCAGTTAGAAGAAAAAGATCCCAGCAGTGACTGAGAGGGGGAGAGAGAGACTGGAGGTTGAGTTCAGTTTTTACTATAAGAAAACTCAAGAGGATCCACAGAGGGAGAGGAGGGCTATAAAATTCCCAGCCACGGGAAGAAATTTTGAGTTTGCACCCTGTTTGACATGGGCTGATTTACTGACTGAGCACAAAGCACTTGGCGATTGTACCTCCCAGGTCTGCTGCTTGGGCAATAGTTTCTTATTTTCTTTCAGTCTTCCAGTTAAAAAAAAATCAATTTTGAAACAAAAGCCAATTTGTGTTTTGTAGCTACTAAAGACCCTGCAGTTATAATCTGTCTTGACTCCTTTTGCAGGGCCCTGTTGCCTGTCATTGAACAAATTATTGTGATTTTTGGTTCCTTCCTGTCTACACATAACTGCTAGAAATATTGTTAGCCTTCAAAGTGAACTGTTTGTATAGCTTTTTATGACTAAGAGCTGACAGGAAGGAGTCAGCTCCTGGGCTGGTAAGGTCTCTCTTTCTTGGAAGATTTACTATATTATGACATGCTTTAAATTTTTATCTTCAATATTTATAGCCTATCTAGACTTGCACAATCTGAAAGATGCAGTGGGAAGACAGGTGAGAGGAGTACACACAACATTATCTGTGTTTTCAGACACAGATTAACCTGCACAGGTTTTAGATATCCGTCTTTTCTTGTATTTTCCCCCTCCCATTTTTTTGTCGTGTTTACTGGGATATATATTGTGAATTTTTTTTTTTTTTGCTTCTTCTCTTTTTATTGTGTGACACAAGAAGGAAAAGGGCTCTGGCTCCTTCAGAGCTAGTCTAGACACATGAATATGACAAAATTTCTTGTCACCTTTGACAGTCTGTAACGTTTCTGGGCTTTTTGGTTGTGGACCAGGTATGTGTTATTCATGAGCAGGAGAGATCTTTCAGCCTGTCTGCATTTCTACTGATGTTAATTCTGTAAGCTTCAGAAGAAATTGTTTGAGTAAAAAGACAAGACGCAGGTGTTGCATTATAAATTTTGTCTGTGTGCAAAGATAATGTTATCTGTCTAATCGGTTAAGTGTGTGCATACAGTCCTTGTGTTTAGGCCCTTATTCTAATTAAATGGAATCAGGCAAGTTCACAAAACCTTTAGAACCCCTCTTAGTTTTGGGGGAGGTCTCAGGAAAGAGAGACTTCTCGATATAAGGTTTATTTAATTATTTTTTGGAGAAATTATGTTTCAGATTATCTGTGATTTCAGATCACATGAAATCTGCGATTTTATGAAGTCTGTGGTTTCATGAACCCAGAGGCTCCTTCTTCCCTCTGGGCTGTATTTTGCAGCTTTTCTAGGATCCTGCTGTCTGCAAGGGATGAAGTTTTCTGTTCATACACCCACAATGGAGTTGTTGCAGGGTGTATGTGGAGGTGCCCTCTTATATTGGCCCAGATGAATTCAGTCACCTTCATCTTAATGTTTCTCATTGAGTTACTGGCTGAAGAAGACTTCACTGCAACTCAGTTTTATTGTGCTGGGTACTCAGCCTGTCACTAATTTGTCATCTTTATTAAACATGAAATACTGGGAAGTGCAAGATGAAAGAGCCCAGCTTGCCCTCAAAGTGGTGCAGTCCCACACGGGAATGGAGATGATGCATTGTCAGCTTAAAATAGAGCAATTATTTTAGAAATGTTTAAACCCTTTGAAACATGATGTATAATATGCTGTTGAATGTGCACGGTTGAGCTGGGATGGCTTCACATGTATTTGCTTGTGCTGAACAATAAATTCAGGTAAGGATAGTTACTAATTGAAACTACAACAAAATTTATAAATTTGTGTTAAAAGGGTCTTTTAATATAGGAATTGTTCTTAAGTTTTCAGGCATGAGGAGGAGGAGGGAAACTGAAACATATATAGTGCATAAGACAATTAAGATGTTTTGCCTGGTTGCTTTTTATAGAGTACCTGCATGTGCTTAAAGCTTTGAATTTGTGCCGGCTCATGTAAGCTGCTAAAGAGATAGCTGTGAGTTTGTGCAGAAGGCTGGAATTTCGTTGCCATTAATATGAATGTGATCTCATTGACTTAACAAATTGGGCAGGAAAGGCCTGCTTCTAATAATGGCTCTCATCTTTCTTGCTATAAACTTTGTAAGATTAACTTTTTTAATGACTGGAAGGCAGACTGTGTTGATTAGTAATGAAATGCAACACCATGCTGCCTTGTTCTTATTCAAACTTCACCCTCCAGGAGCCAGAACTGCTATAACCTGAGACCAGGCTTTAAATTTCATTTAAAACTCTATTGGGTAGAATTATATTGATGTGAAAGGAGACATTTCTGCAAAATTGTAGGCTGTTGCCAATAAAATTAATTGCGAGTGGAGAACTGCAGTTTAAAGAACACATCTCTTTTCTTTAAATGGACTTTAAAATATATCTATAGTTCTATTTCTAAACTACCTGTAGTGTAACATAGTCTACTAAAGAGTAAAATCCCAGCAGAGGGATTTGTGAGAATGTGCAGCAAATCAAGACAATCTGCATTACAATACTCTTATTTTCTACTGAGTAGGCTCTCCCAGGAAAACCTGCTCTTTGTCATGTTGGTCATCACTATACCACAGGTGGTAGTATATTCTCCTTTATTAAGAACAAAACGCTACCAAAAAAATTGTGTTTCAGTAACTCTGATGGGAATTGCAGGCTTTTTTTATTACACTGGAGGGAGGCGGGGGAGGTTTGCAGGGATGCTGAATCTCTACAAATGCATCCCGAGTTCTTTGTGGGGCTTTATGCTTAAAGTTTAAGCAGGTAATGAGAGAAACCTGTTCTTCTATTGTGTATAATTGAAGTTATCAGTCATTACAGTGTACAGCTGCTTTGGTGGTGTTTGTCGGCTTTGTGCAGATAATGCTAACTTTGAGTCCTTTTTTTTTTTTTTTTTTTTTTTTCCACAATTCTGGTCTATTAAAGGGAGTGAATGTTGCTGAGTGACACTGAGCCTTGCATTGGATACGTTTTCAAAAGAGCATATTGGAAGCAGGACCTGATCTTTCAGCTGGTTTCTTTTTTTCAGCCCCAAGCTAACTGATAATAATCTCACCCTGCTGCTCTCAAATCTCAGCGTCTCCTCGCGGGATCAGCCCTGGCTATGCTGTACTGAGGGAGGTGGTTAGGGTCTCTTTTGGGGGGAAAGACAGCAAGAAAGGGGAGAAAGGGGATTCCTTCCTCTTTTGCATTAAAACTTTTGCCCCAAGTTTAAACGGTTCTTTAAAAATATATATATAAAGAAATGCCCTTCCCCCCCCTCCAATTCAGGAAATAAATTTACTGGAATTTATTATAATTCTATAGTTTAAAAATATAGTATTTCCAAAAATATTTTTTCCCTGGTGGTAGAAGTATTGATCTTCCATAAATTACTGTATTTTTTTAATGCTGAGTAATACTGAGTATTTTTGATACTGGGATACTGGACCATGATTTCTTTTGTTATAGCTACTAAAAGCCTGTCTTGCAATTTCAGTGGCTGCTGAAGTCATCAAGTTACTTTTTTCCACTTAAAACTTAGTTTACTCTTTGTCCGGTTAATTTACACACTTGTCTCTTTAAATGGGCTTCCCCGACTGGGTCAGTAGGTGCAGTTCAAACACAAGACACACAATGTCTGGTGGAGAGAGCAGAAATGTCTTTGTCAACCTGCTTTGGCTTTTGTTTCCTTATTATGTAAAATAACTCATTCACTCACAAGGAATTTTAATTGATGAATCCTATTAATTTAAGTTTTTTTTGTCAGGTTTTTCTTTAATGATATTGTTGAGTGGTGTAATCAAGGAACGTTAACAAGACCCTGGATTTTTGGCTTTTGTTTGTTTTTGCCTTTTTTTCTTTTTAAGTTTTCAGATTTTCTTTATGCTACAGTTTAAGAAGTGGGCATGAAAAATCCTAGAATTGACTTATTTATATAACAAACTTTCTTCCTCTTAGCATGTGGAGGAAATGCCAGTGTGTGGAAGGTGTGCTTTGGTGTTGGTGCAGCCTTACAAAGCATCTAGTGACATATCATGTGTTTAGCTTGTGGATAGGCTTTTGATAATTTATTTCAAAGCTCATGTTGTTCAGAGTGTCTTGTAGACTTTATAGTAAGCCATTTGTGCCAAGCTGCCAAGTCTTAAGGTTAATGTAGGTATAAGTTTATCTTTATTTTTATAAATTAACATTCTTTTCCTTTAGCTTCAGTAGGACTTTGATTTTATCCATGTCAACTGACTCACAGTGTGTTGTGTGTGGTTTACTTATTTATTTATTTTGAGGTAGTGTAGTATGTGTGTGTGTAGTGGCTGTTGCCAGTATAGAAAAGAGCAAGCAACTGTAATGACAACATTTAGTGCCGTTGTAAATGTCATGCCGTGTGTGCCAGTTGTGTTTCCCAGCCTTGCCATTCCTTCAGGAGTGCTCAGCTTGGTTCAGGTGCTGTTGCGGTGCACAGGCTGGGTAGGATGGAAGCTGGTGCTGAAACGAAGCCTGTGAGACCCTCCCTGTGCCACCCCTACCCTGCAGCCCCCAAAGCAGGAGAATTTGTCCTGATTTCAAGAGCACCACCCCACCAGCTCTTCTTGGCGAAG